CTTACAAGTGCTGCATGAGGTGCAGTCTGGCCACCTCGTGCATCACAGCTGCCACAGTGGCCAGTCTTCACCATACATGGTGCCCGTTCTGGCACTCCAGGATCTGTGCCACATGTAGCATGGCTCCCAGACCAGCTAAAGCAGCTGCCAGATCAGGGGGAGAAGGACAGGATCTGTGGGCCTGATCTGGCCTGTGGACTGACCCTGCACCACCGGTGCATATCATACCCTATGTGGGTCTCATCAGACCCAGGGGCAGCACTGGGGGCCAGATGACAGTTCTCCAAGGGCTAGATCTGCCCCGTGGGCAGTTTGACACCCACTAAAAGCAAAGAGCTCTATCCCAGTCTTACATCTGTGCACTAATGCTTAATTTGTCAGAGCCCTATGCTCTGAGAAACTGTTGCACTGCTTCCAATTTAAGAGACCAAGGTTAACCAAAATAATACTTAACTGAATAGTGGCACTGAAAAAATATAATTGGCTTACGCTACTGACTACCGCAGCCTCAAACACGTGCCACAAGGTCCGGTAGTTACAGCATCAAGGTTGGATATTTTTACTCAACATTTACTCAAGATATAAAAAATGTTTCTCTTCCTAACATACAAAATATAGTACCAGTCTGTATTTGCTATATAGAGGGGCTATACTTCATGCCAGCGCACAGCTTTGCACAGCCTACTCTTTGAATATTTCATATGAATAACATGCTTGGTTAATATTAGTTTTCTGCCACCAGAAAGATACGGTAACCACAAATAAACTTCATTAGCTTGGATCTGCAGGTAAATAGAATATAACCTTTCATGAACATGCCATTGAACAAAAAAAAGTTTATAAACTCACAGCCAGCTACATACATATTCAGGTCAAAGGCTGTTGCTATTCTGAAGCTAATATAAAAGAGTACAGGCAGACTGTCATTAGATATTCTATACATATATATACACACACATAAGCCTTAGTCTGTCCATCTGTAACGCTTTATTCACATTGATTGGCTGCCGAGACAGGCACTAGAATGTGACTGCACGCTCTAGCTTTTTATTTCCATTTTAGATGGTCACATGACAAGCATGAGCATGTATACAGGTACTGAAAATGATATAAACAAAGTTATTTGAAGTGAGAACGTACTGCTTGTGAATAGCTTCAACTGTAAAAAGAAATGTCACAAAAAGCAAAGTGAACAAACCCACTAGTTTCTCTCCATCAAGTTGAGGGTAATTCTAATAAATATTTTTAATAAGCCATGTTCATTGTGGTTCTTTTAGGTTTCAGCTTGCTTTTTCATATACTGCTTAAAACAAACATGCCTCATTACAATGGACTCTAAACAGACCATTTTCAAGTTACTTACATTAGTAAGAGGTCACAAGCTAAGGGAGCCTCTTTCAGCTAAAACAAAAACTGGACTTAAAGTTTAAAATAATAATTAGATTGACTTTACAAAGAAAATCCTATCTAGACAAAATTTAGTTCCCAATTGAATGACAATACAATTGTCTACATTAGAAAAAAAGTTTGTAGGCACTCCATTGTGAACCCAAACTTCATCACTTGTTCTTGCCTAAAGAGACAGTCAGTTAACTAGTCAAATAAAGTTTAACCATGATTAAAATTATCTGGAGGGGAAGAGAAGGATCTATACTAGGAGTAAAATAAGAACGGAGAGAGGGCACAGCAATTTCCACACTTGTAGAATGGAGGGGCTCTTTACAAAACACCTTATATAAAAGTCATTTACCAACACCATTTGAAGTTATTAGAACTGTGATATCATAATATTTTTTCCTGTCTCAACCGGAGTAGTCACTTTCCCATCCATTTCTTTGCATCAGAAAAACAAGCAAACAAACAGAAAAATACCTCACATGAACATTAAAAAGAGAAGACATTTTTCTTATCTTTTAAAAAATTCAAGGAGGTATTTTCTAAGAAACTAGTTTACATAGTCAATTTTAAGCAGCTGTTTCCATTCAGGGTGTAAATATTTAGCATGTTCACATTACTGCAACTGCCTTCAGATCATGTTAAACATGGAACACACACACACACACACACACACACACACACACACACACCCTCCCCCTCTGCTTTAGGTAAAGTTATCTCTTGGAAAGTCTTAAGTTATACAAGGGTTGTTTCCACAGCTACAATGTCATCCTGTGGTAGCTCCTTGCTTGATGCAATCAGTCTATCAGTAGCTCTGTCACCACCTACTGGCAAGGTGCAACAGGCAGCTACGGCAAAATAGCTGGCCACTCTAGTCACCAGCATGCAAAACCAGAGTGATTAGGTCAGTCTTAATACGTTCTATTCCCACACCCTGTCTCCTAACTGATACCTAGTCTTTGCTTTCTGGCCACCATTAGAGGTAGCTCTACCAAATGTGGCTAGATAAGCAAGGGGCAGGCAAATCCCTATTCCAAGGGTAGGCAATTATTTTGTCTGGAGGGCCATTTTAGGAATTTTGTTGAGCTGTTGTGGGGGGAGTGGAAGTTGCCGACAGGGTGGGGACAACTGATCCTATCTGGCCTGGGCCTCTCCGCCCTGCACCAACTGGCAGGGGCTCCAGACAAAGCAGGCAGTCGGGGCCTCCATGGAGACCGGCAAGGACCCCCCCCACAGACAGGGTGTGCTTGGCTGGGCAGATGAAATGAGTCCACAGGCACGCAGGGAGCAGAATCCAGGGGCTAGGACAGGCAGTTGGGGGTAGGGCTGGAATTGCAGGGCAAAAGATTTGCAAATAAGGTGGGGGGGGGGGAAATGGGAGGAGCCTCTCCACTAGTGAAGAGAAACCTGGCTCAGATTTGTTGTGAAGAGAAGAGCTCAAGAGGCAGCTACTGTCCCATACAGTGGTGGAAGAAGCCAGCTAAGAAATAACTGAAGGAAAGTAAAATCAGTTCTGTGAAAAATATAGTTTACTGAAGAGCTGCCTTATGAACATTGTTTCATGGGTACGGGTGGAATAGGTATTTTGTCCTAGTTGGCCAAGTCCTCAGATAAGATCTACTCGCTAGTTAAGGTTTACAAACTGATGTTTTAAAAAGAAGAGCTGAATGATCCTGAAAACATGAAAGTACGAGAATCACAGAGAATTAGAGGCAGGAATTCTTAGGGGTGATTGCAGCTATTGTTCACTGGATCAACTGAGTGGTTAGGATAGACATAGATAAACTTTCAAGTAAAACCTCAGGTTTCTCTCTTCACTCAGTCTCTCTCCCATCACCTCAGGTCTCTGAGGAAGGATGCTACAATACCTGAAACTTGTCCATGTCTATCTCAACCACGCCATTCATTAGTCCACAAGAATTCTTGCCTCTTGTATATTTCCAGGATCATCACAGCAACAGTATCATTTCAACACTGGAAATTAAACTATTTAATTTTTAACCACAAATATTGCCATATGTTAGGACTATACATTTTTACTACCCAAAGATGGGAATCTCAACATATCCATCCACAGCTGGAATACTGAGAAGGACTTCAAATCCTGCCATATTCCTCCATTTAGCAATGATTTGACCTTGGTCAAAGGCCAAAAATACCAAGTCTTCAACTTGAGACCAGTGGAGGTTTAGATCTGGCCTACAAAGTAACACTTTTAATTTTAAAAAGTTTTTACAGAGCATATTTGGGGGGCGGGGGGGTGGGCGGGAGTGTCAAACCAGTCATCAATTTCAAGCCCTACATGGTCCTTTCACAACATCTGACAAAGTGAATTTGCTGTACTACACACTACAGAAGATCCTAACTCAACCTAAGTGACAAGGGGAGGAACTGTTTCTTAAAATCCAATTACCTCAGTTTTGCTATTTCAAATATAAGACTTTAACCCATTAGAAATAATTACACATTGGCCTACAAGGTAGTAATAGTAGGCAGCATAGAGGGGAAAAAAGTATCACCCAGAATTCTAGGAGTAACTTTGCAGTTTTTAATTTCAGATGGGACTCATAATGCCCCTGTTACTGAATACTCATATATGAAAGCGTTTGCATTTGCCCCAGTTATGAAAATGAAAGTTTGCTATTTTGGTCACTACCCCAACAATCTCCTGCGATACAGCCCAACTCTGTGGACCAGGCATCAGTGAGGACTAATGCAGCTTGAGGTACAAGCCTGCCAACTGGAAGAGACCAAAAAAAAAAAAAGTCAGCTCAGTTTACAAGCATTTGTTGATTTTTCAGAAGCTTAATCACTATTGACCTAGTTCTACATTACATTAACAACCCATTCATTTTACATTGGATTTAGGCATAAGAGCAGAGCTCTGTCAGAAAGGCATAGAGCATAAGGTTTCTGTCTCCAACCTCCATCTACTGTTATTCATTTGTCCTACTTGCACGCCCAGATGCAAGGAGAAAAGCTGTGTTTGGCTTGCACAGATTCAAGATGGAAGCGCACCATAGCTGCAATCTAGACAAATGCTCTCCAAGCAACACCCCTCCCTAGAGAGGTGCCGGCCCCCCACCCCGCGTTAGCCTCACTCTAGACATTCATGTGAAGGCGAAGGTGCACAGATGAGACACAAACATTAAAAGTTTTCACTTTACCCACAAACACGGGCAGCCAAACCCGAGGAGACAGTTACTGCAAATTAACCCTAGAGCTGAGCTTTCATGCGATAACTCCGGCAGCACCGGCTTCTCTTCCAGCGGCTTTCAACCTTTTTTCATTTGCTGACCCCTAAAAAATGTCGAGTGGAGCAGCCCCTTGGCAGGGTAAGTGCGGGCATTTATATTTGCACACTTCTGATTGAGCGCAGTCATCTTTCGCAGCCCCCTCACACAGTCTGCGCCCCCCGCGGACGGGCTCGAAGCCGCCGCCCCCGAGGATTTCTACCCCGCTGCATTTGCCGACCCGGGCTGCCGTGCAGGGGGCAAAAGGCGGCGGCGAGCCAGACCCCACCCGGGTTTCTGTCGCCCAACCCCCAAGGTGCCAGAAGCCCTTCCCCGAGCCCGGCCCGGCCCGGAGCCCCCGGCGCTCACGGCGATGATGACGGTGTCCTCGCTCTGGAACTTGGCGATGTACTTGTCGCCGCGCACCACCTCCGAGTCGTTGAGGGGCCTGAAGCGACACATCACTTTGATGTTGCACTCCGCCGGGTCCGCCATCTTCCCTCAGCCCCGCGCCGCCGCCGCCGGCC